GATAATTATGTGTTTTGCATGATTTAAAATCAGTATATGCTGATTGTGTTAGTTAACTAATATCATTTATTGATATGGAGACTGCGTATAAATAGGAAACCAAATAATTTTTTGTTTTGGAAAAATAATATTTGTTAGTAGTAAAGATATTCTGCAGTTAGTTGTTATTAGGTATAAGTAGAATCGTTTTTGGAAAAGTTTGTTTCGATTTTGAATGGATTAAATCTTCTGATTTTTTTTTTGTACTGGGTCATAATTTTAAACAAATCATAAATTGGGTATGTTTTAAAATCGCTTAACCATATTTGGTTTAGATTAATATACACAATGTTGATTTCTATATTCAACTAAGAAACAAAGAATGCTAAGAAATGGAAATGGTTGATGTGAAGATACATTATCTCATCATGGTCTAAATTAAATAACATGTTTTCTGAATTAGTTACATGTTTTTTGAAACTTATGATTTTACGTTTTGGTTTAGGTTTATTATAATACAATTGGATACAGGTTTCTACGGTTTGATTTTGAATACGATAAGTTGTGATTATGATCTCGGCCATCATTTATCATAAGCCCAAAACGTTTGATTTTATTTCAAACCAGACTGCCGAAAGTTGTGGATTGAACGTCAAATACGATTTGATAAAAAGAGAAATAATGATATGGAATATGATGTATATAAAATGACAGAGTTCAAAGTCAGTGGCATAGATATGTAATTATTGAGGAAAATTCAGGGTCATTTTCTTTTTGTACTTCAGTTTTAATAGTTTAGATGAGAAGTCATTTTAGTGATTTCTGGTGACGTGTCGCTCATAGGTGAAGTTTCAAGAAATTTTTATAATTTGATTGGTCGATTGTTCTTAATTTTTATTTATTTAATTTAGATCTAAATATTTAAGGTAAGTCAAAAATCATTTAACATCACTTGGCATATAATCTAAAGAATATTACAAATAACAATTTATGGAAACTAATTCTCGAAATTATAGAAAGATTAATAATGTTTTATTTATTACTTTTAATATTTATAAACTATAAAATATAATGAATGAAATTTTATATAAGATAATTATAATAGTTTTATACTCTAACTGATGAATTGTATTTGAATATAATTATATAATAACTATTTTAAATATTACAAAATCTAAGCATATTTATTAATATTATTTTCAAATTATTTAGCGTTTTTAATGAATAAATTTATCTGAATTTTAAAATAAGTTATAAAATGTTATAAATTATTTATAAAAGATAAAACCTACTATATATTGATTGAGAAATAACTTGAGTGATTTTTTATTACGTGCATGAATGGACTCTTCAAATCCTCCTATATATTAAATGAGAAGTCACTTTAGTGATTTCTAGTGACGTGTCGCTCATAAGTGAAGTTTCAAGAAATTGTTATAATTTGATTGGTCGATTATTCTTAATTTTTATTTATTTAATTTAGATCTAAATATTTAAGGTAAGTCTAAAATCATTTAACATCACTTGCCATATAATCTAAAGAGTATTACAAATAACAATTTATGGAAACTAATTCTCGAAATTATAGAAAGATTAATAATGTTTTATTTATTACTTTTAATATTTATAAACTATAAAATATAATGAATGAAATTTTATATAAGATAATTATAATAGTTTATACCCTAACTGATGAAGTGTATTTGAATATAATTATATAATAACTATTTTAAATATTACAAAATCCAAGCATATTTATTAATATTATTTTAAAATTATTTAGCGTTTTTAATGAATAAATTTATCTGAATTTTAAAATAAGTTATTAAATGTTATAAATTATTTATAGAAAGAGATACACCATACCTCCTACACCTATTTCACATTGTTGTATATTAAAATGTTTACTTCCACATTGGCAAGAGATCTCAATTCAAATCACTTTTCTCTTCAAAAGGTTTTATTGTTGCAATTTAAAAAGGAAATATCTAAGGGTTCTGGTGGTTTTTACCAACTCTTTTGTCTAAAAAAAGAAGCCAATAAGAACGCAAGACAATGCTATTGAGGATCAGTTCTCTGTCAACAAAAAACACTCTAAAAAAATCAAAAGCAAGTGAAGCTGGAGAAATGGAAGAAGAATCTATTCTTTTTTTTTTGTTGAACACCAGTTCACTTAGTGTTATTTCTTGAATTTGGTTTCTTATTTTATTGGCTTTAATTATTATTCATTTTCTCAAAGAAAATAACATTATATCTCTTGCAATTACTTTTTGATTAACACCTAATAAATAGTTGAAAGAAACTATATTATCCTACTATCTCAATCTGTATATTTTGAAATACAATTTAATTAAACAATTAATAATGAATAGTTATATGTGGTTCAAGGCAAAATATTTGCAAAACAAACAAAGCTAAGGACAAATGAGATATACCAACAAGTTTTAGTTAACTTCTAAATAAAAGACTTTATATACAACACAATTTCACTTATTGACAATATAGTAGGATACACAACTTCTAATTTTTTTTCCATCTTAATTTGATTAATAAATGATCAAATCGCAAGATACACAATCACCAAAACCCATAACAAAAGGACATTACAAGAAAAATCGACATGGGGCCGAAAACCCAAAATTGAGAAAACTCTAATGTAGATACACTCTTCGACGAATCTGTATAAGCTTCCGCCTCCGAAAATAAAAACATCACCCTGTTGAAACCAAAACAAGAGATACACCAAACCTTCTCTACTAAAGATCTATAAACGAGAAATAAAACCAAGGACAATCTAAAGCTGGACCGATGGTGGCTGTGGAAACCCACTCCATCGCCCGGAATCACTAAACACAGTGACTTTTTTTCTCTCACAACTTCTAAATATAACAAAAAAATGTTAGTTCTCTTTTCAACTCAAATCAGCAAAATTTAATAAAACCTACAATATAATTTTAGAATAACAACATATTACATTTATTATTTTCAGTATAAATTAAAATTAAAATATTTTATAAAACTAAAATATATTTTAATACAAAATAATTTTATTGTAAATTCACCCCTCCACAGGGTTTAAGAATTTTGTATTTCTCTAACAAAAAATAATGCTACTTCTCTTTTCAACTCAAATCAACAAAATTTAATAAAATCCACAATATAATTTTAGAATAACAACATATTACATTATTAATTTGCAGTATAAAGCAAAATTCAAACATTTTATTAAACTAAAATATATTTTAATACAAAATAATTTTATTGTAAATTCATCCGCCCGTGGGGGGAGGAGGCAAAAGGAGAGTTTTTCTCCTCTTAGCGCGCCACGTCAGCATTTTTATGGGTCAAAAAAATAAATAAGTATTGATCAAGAATCAAAATCAAGTTATTTATTCTTCAATCAAAGTTTTATCACCAGACTACTATGAATACTTGACATATTTTACGCATAGTACTATATATTAGAAGGATAATTTCTCTCTTCTCAACGCGTCACCTCAGCATCTTTGTGGATCCGACAAAGAAAACAGTAAAAAAATATTAATCAAGAATCGAACTCAGGTTTTATTCGTCAAACAAAGTCTTACCACCATACTAGTATGAATACTAGACATATTTTACGTATAGTAGACCATAATACCTAAGTTACTTTATAAATAAAATAAATATTTAAAAACAAGTCATGTTTAATCCTCGATTAATCATTAATTCGCTAGGTCTTCATCATTCGCCCTACTAACGCATAACGTCATTCCGAACATGGTTTTAAACTAATCTAAATCATAAAGTGATTGTTTGTGTTTTCATGAATCATTTTCCTTAACTCTACATCTACATCTCCAAGTTTAACCTCGTTAACTAATAATGGACCACGTTCGTAACACTTCTTGCACTCTGCTTGTATATATTCTATCTAAATAGAGGAACTTTTCATCTCTGATTTGTTCATTGATTCTTTCCCTAGTCAAATTTCATTACTTTTTCTCGAAAATGACTTCATTTTCAGCTCCAGTTACTAATGTCGTTACATGCTTCTTATTTTTTTTATTCTCTCTACTATGGTCAAACTGCTCAGTTTGTGGTTGCTCGTCGCCTTTGTTTCTGGGATTCACAGAACATGAAAAAATGGCGAATTTATGGGAATTAGAAAAGATTGAGAAGAACATTAGCATTTAACAAAGATCAATTTTTACTCTGTTAATTAATAATGGACCACGTTCGTAACACCTCCTAAATTACGCTTAATATATACTCTATCTAAACGAATGAACCTTTCATCTCTAATTCTCTCCTTAATTCTTCTTCTAGACAAATTTTATTACATCTTCTTGAAAATTACTTCACCTTTTGCTCCAGTTGCTAAAATCGTTTCTAGTCTTTCAACTTTCAATTCTCTTTACATTGATCAAACTGCTTAATTTATGGATGCTTACCGCTTCAGTTACTAAGATTCTCAAAACATAAAAAATGACGAATACATGAGAATTAGAAAAGATTGAGAAGAACCTTTGACATTTACCAAGACTACATACTAACTGTCGATATCTATAATTTTTTAGAATTTTATTAACTAATAAAAAAGACTTCACACGCCATATTAGTTCAATTTATATGTCAAACATCAAAAGATATAATAAAATAAAATTATATAATACATACACTATGTCCCCCGACTCCACACACCCCTAGTAATAGTTATAAAACTAGGTATTTATATATTTTGTACTGAAAGGTGTTTTAAGTATTTTGGAATTTGAGATGCAAATTTTGGTAAGTTAACGGTTCATTACATTCATCTCTCATTGTTCAGAATCAGATATAAGAGACGTGATCAATGTATAAAAACTAACATCTATGATGGTCCATGGGTATGGATATCTTCAACAGAGCAAAAGAATATGTGAAGAAGATAGGTGAAGAAGGGAGGCCTCATAAACCCAAGATGGTAATATAAGCCAAACGAGAATGAAAGTCTCAAAACAGCGCCTTATTCTTCACTTTCATGTGGCACAGAGTGCTCTTCAGGTATGGTCATGAGCAGGGCTTTTACCTTCACTTTCATGTGGCACCGAGTACTGGGTAAAAGGTGTCATGAGCAGCTCGTGCAGTATCATGGAGTTGTTCTCTATCTGGATAATGCGGGGCTGCTTTGCCAGAGTGTTCTCCATCTCAGCGACCTTCAGTTGCAAAACTCGAAACTGATTCACCAGATAATTTGCCGGGACAGAGTGATCTACCTGGAATGATAAGACAAATATATTTTTAAACTGAAAGAAGCAGAAATTATGAAGCCTCAAACAAGCTCAACACCAAATAAAGAAATAGAGAAGTTACCAGTGGTGGCTCTGGAAAAATCTGACCGCAATGGGCGATTGTGACGGGCTGGGAAGGGTAAATCAATCCATCTCCAGCCATCTGCTCAACGCGGCTAATCACATCAAACCCAACCACAACTTTTCCAAAAGCGACCTGATCGCGATCGAGGTAAGGGGACTCCCTAAGGAGGAGCATGAACTGAGATTCGTAGGAGGTGTCGTCGTCACCAGTGTTGACCATGGAAAGGATACCTTTACCGTTGTGCTTCCTTATCAAGTTCTTGTCCGTGAAAGGAGAGCCATAGATCGACTCGCCTCCTACTCCGTTCCCATGAGTGATATCTCCTCCATACCATATTCTATTTGGGATTACACCGTGGATGATGGATCCCTTATAGTGGAGTGGTATACCAGACTTCCCAATGCCTTTCTCCCCTGTACAGAGCGCCCGAAAGTTCTCAGCCGTCGTCGGGTTCGAGTCTGCGAACAGCTCTATCTCGATCCGACCAACAGTTTCGAAGTTTACGGCGATTTCGAGGAACACTATAGGGTTATTCGCCATCGGTAATTAATTGATCACAGATTGGACTCGTATGAAACCAGATCCTTTTTACTTTTGGTCGGAGAATAACTCCAGATACTCCTCTCGCTCCTTTTAATTTCTAATTAAACCCCCAAGCGAAAAACAATTTCTTTTTTATTTATTTTTAAATATAAAAATGGGTTAAAGACCTTTATACCCTCAAACAAACAGACTTATTACTAAATCAAACCTAACTAACCGATTCGAACCAAAATATAACCGGATTAAACCTAAGTTTTTACCCTATACTCTAAACGACGCCGTACTACTCTAAACCTAAACTTCTACTCGACTCTCTCTTTCTCAGGCGACAAACTTGGCGACGGCAAGACCCGATAGTTTCTCCTGTTTCTATCAACTTCGAAGCTCCAATCGAGACTCTATCGATATATTTCATCTTTCTCCTAACTTTCTTACATATTGGTAAGTGATTTTCTCTTTATTTGGTCTCTCTAAAGATCCGATTATATAATTGGGTCAAACAAAATTTGGGGAAAAAAGTTGTAAATTGTAGACAAATCTTGAATAGGGTTTAGGAAAAGTTTATTATGGATAGTAAGTTTAGGAAAAGGTTGATGAAAGGTTAGATGTATTCTTTTGTTTGAATGCGAAATGGGACCAATAATGGTTGTGAAATTGTAATGTTTTTGGATAAATTGTCTAAGAATGGTTAAGATGCTGTGTTAAAACAACAAATTTGATTTGGTTTGGATTCTGGATTCTGTGATAAAATATAATTAATTTGTGTAGTTTTTGGTGAGTTTTTGTGAATATGGTGTGAGCATATGTGATCGATGACTGACTTTGTTGTTTTGGATTTTCAGGGGATCTAAATAATGGCAGGCCATAAGAAAAAAGGAATGACCACAAGAGCCCAAAGAAACACTGCTCCTGTAGTAGAAGAGCTTATATGTGGGAACTCAAGTGATGATTCTGATGATTCTGTTGCTCCATCCGAGGTAATGATTTTTGATTCAGTTGAATAATGTGTTACTTCTCGTGTATTGGTTAGTTGAATAAATGGTTGACTCACTGTTCAAAAACTTGTTTGTTTTATTTTCCTTGCAGGAATGCCAGCCACTGCCACCTTCTAATCTCTACTTCGAGAACACCGAGTTTACCAAGACGTCTAAGATACAGAGCAAGTGCGCTGTGACCCCGACGGTTGAAGTCATCAAAACGCTAAAAGATGAGTTGCCCTGGTTTGAAAGTCACTCTCAGTTTAGACACTTTTTCCACATGCCGGAAGAATCAAACTTGAAGCTCCAGGGTATGTGGATGCTTCTACTGCGCACTATTCCTTTAGAGAGAGCAGGGGACGCATCTTGGTTTGCGGTTAATGGTGTACCCATTCGGTATTCCATGAGAGAGCATGCACTCATCTCAGGATTAGACTGCCATGATTACCCACCCAATTATAAGAAGTTGGGAAGTTTCGAGTTTGTAGATAGNCAAACTTGAAGCTCCAGGGTATGTGGATGCTTCTACTGCGCACTATTCCTTTAGAGAGAGCAGGGGACGCATCTTGGTTTGCGGTTAATGGTGTACCCATTCGGTATTCCATGAGAGAGCATGCACTCATCTCAGGATTAGACTGCCATGATTACCCACCCAATTATAAGAAGTTGGGAAGTTTCGAGTTTGTAGATAGGCATTTCAAAACTCATGGCGAGATAACAATAAACTCTGTGAAAGAGAAATTGTTGTCTATGAGATCGTGTGGGGATCGACTGAAGATGGCGGTACTGTATTTTCTAGGCACACTTATCAGAGGGAACGGAAAGTATAATGGACCCATGGACTCTTTCATATTAAGAGTCGCCAATGATTTGGAGGTTTGTAAAACCTTTCCTTGGGGTCGCTTGACATTTGAAGACAATATCCGTTCAATTATGAAAGTGATGAAGCATCTGAAGGGAAAACCTAAAGCGAATGTCAACTTCCCAGGATTTATAATTCCTTTAGAGGTAATTTATTCTTAACTTAGATTTTACTTGTTGTATGATTGTTTTTTGACAAATTTTTTTATGTAGATCCTTGCATTTGAGTGTATTCCATCTCTGAATGCAAAATATAGAGAAGAAGTAGAAGGTTGTACGAGTAACTGTCCGAGGATGTGTAAGAAGCGATTCCTAAGTGACAGTATGAAGGGCTATCCACTTGACGATTTGTACAGAACTCTTGGAAACACCACGGTAAATAATCTCTTTCAGTTATTTTTATTAAGTTTTCAGAAATACAATATGTGCAAACGATATTTTTTTGGTTTATATTTCAGACAATTCAAAGTGTTCTGATTCCTACTCTGGCTGAAGAAACTCTCATGGCGCGAATAGTAGAGGACGAGCCAGAATACGATAAGGAAGATGGAGTAAGTAACGAGTTGAGCGCATGGCTTACTATAAAGGAGAAGCCTATCTGGTGGAAAGAGCTCTATGAGTTAGATGTGGCTGCAAGAGAGTTTTCCAAGAAAAAAGACAAAGAGAAAGTGTCTGAAAAAGCATCCTCCTCTAATGTTGGGATGGAGAACCTTCTGGAAAGGTTCGAAGATATGGTGATGACTTCATTAGTTGAAGTGAATGTGAAATTGGAGACAGTGGAAAAGCGGCTTGATTGTATTGAGAAGAAGCAACGTTTTTTAAAACAGAAGGTTATGAAGATGAAAGCAATGGAGAAGCGTCTTGATGCCATTGAGAAAGGTCAAGGTGTCAAGAGAAAGAAGGTTAGGAGAACGGCAAGGAAACTGAAAAAAAAAGGTATTGACAACCAGAGCATGGGTAGCCCCATCCTTGACAGTGGGTTTGACAACCAGGACATTGGTCTTGATAACCAAGACATGGGTTTTGACAACCAAGGAATGGATTTTTACTGCGATTTTAACAGAAAAGGTGTTGAGGAAGATAAAGAAGATGTGGAGGAAAATAAGGAAACTGAGGAGGAGATCAGTGAGACTCAGGCTGAGAAAGAGATTGGTGATACTCGGGTTGAGGAAGAAATGGTTGATGAGAAAAAAGATGAAACCGAGGCAGATGAAAACAAGGAAACTGAGGAGGAGATCAGTGAGACTCAGGCTGAGGAAGAGATTGGTGATACTCGGGTTGAGGAAGATATCAGTGAGACTCGGGTTGGAGAAGAACCTGAGGACATTGAGAAACTAGAGAAAGAAGCTGAGAAAGAAGCTGAGAAAGAAGCTGAGAAAGGACCCGAGGAAGAAGAGTGTAAAAAATACACGGAGGAGGAGAAAGCAGGATGGATTCTTACAATTTTTAAGAGCTATGATGGAACTCCTCATTCTCCGGTTGTGGATCAGACAGATGGAACTCCTCCGGCTGGAACTCCTCCGGCTGGAACTCCTCCGGCTGGAACTCCTCCGGCTGGAACTCCTCCGGCTGGAACTCATCATTCTCCTGTTACACCACTACGTGGTAGGACAAAGGCAATGGCCAAGAGGATAGGAGGACCAGGTACACCAATTGGTAAAAGGGTACGTGTACCATCACAGTGGCTTTCCTCTCCTTTCATGGAAATGAATACCGATGAGATCGAAGGGCCAAAGAAGAAGCCTAAAACCAAGGCTTAGAAAGCCAGTTAGATGTTTAATATTTTGGATGTTTGATATTTTATTAATTCGGCTTTGTAGTGAACTTGTAGGATGGTATGTTTAAACATATGCTTAATATGTTGGATGCTTAATATGTTGGATGCTTAATATTTTGGAAGTTTGTTATTTTGGATTTGTATGATTTGTGTTGAAACAGGTTCGGACTAGTAATACAAGGTTTTGATATGCCTAAAAAATTAAATTTGTACTACTAGGTATTACTAGGAAATTATCAATATTTTATAAAATAAAACATTTAAAACGTGCAAAACACATGTAAAACGAGTAAAACATTTCCAAACCACATGTAAAACGTGTATAGACATTCCCAACATAGTAAGACCTAAGGTTGTAGTAATACTACGTTATTCATAGTAATACATTTGCAAAATTTCAACATTTATTAGTAATACCACATCTAAAACAAAACTTTTGTAGTAAAACAACCTCATTTAGACAGTTTAACATTGAATACAAAACATTGGTAGAAAAATATTTCAGAAAAAATGTATTTTGTGTTATTCACTTCATTATGACCTTTCCATAAAGACATTAATCATATAAGTATAAGGAAGTTTTATATGGAAATGCGAATTTTTATGGATTTTATGAAATTTCTAAATTTTTGTTGTCTACTTTTAAAAAAATATATAGACATATAAAAACAATAAAGTAAGTTACATATGATAAAAACAAATAATAAGACGAAAATATAAGTTTTTAGAGAAACATGCATATTACGAATAGTAGCTCTAGTAATACTAGTAGTCCATGAAACAAATAGTAGTTCAAGGTAGTTCTGAGTAGTCCGAACAACACATAGTAATCCTAGTAGTTTGAAAAGCACATAATAATACTAGTAATCCGAATAAACAACTTTCAACAGTCAAACCCCTGAACCTGAACCACTTCCACATTCAAAATACGCTGCCATACCTCCTCCTCTGGCTCTCTCTGTGCCTGTGGCTCTCCCTGTGCCTGTGGCTCTCCCTCTTCCACTCCCTCCTCCTCCTCTACCTCTTTTTCCTCTTCCACGAGATTCTCCCGCTGATGGAAACCTTGTTTGTTGCGGTTTTCCTTTCTTGACTTCAAATTCTGGAGGAAGTATTTTCATTGCTCTAACTTCTTCTGGTATAATCCAATCAGACATATGAGGAACAGGATATATTGTTCTGTGATAAGCCAAAGTCCACTGCTCCACCAAATAGTACTTAGAACAATATTCCGATAAAAGGACTTCTCTTCCTGCTTTATCAGCCATGAATGTTGCAGCAGCTACTGCATGAACACATGGATATTTGTCTTTATCAAATTGCTCACAGGTGCACGTCTTCATAGCCATGTCCACGGTATAATGTTTCCCGTCACTACCATGCACACTGTACTCGAGATGGTAGCTATTTAACTCGTCAACCGTAAGAAACCCTGCCTCAACACATCGTTTAGACATTTCCGTCTCCACAATAGGCACAAGCTTTAGTGCGGGTGGTATTTCAGCTGCCTCCTTCCTGTGGTCGTTAAACCATTCAGCAATTTTTGCAATGATAAAATCAAACATTGGAAGTAAGGTGAACTTTCTTGCGTTCTTAATAACACCGTTAAAAGATTCTGCTGAATTGGTGGTGTCAACATTGTACCTATCTCCTTCAAAATAACATCTAGCCCATTTTTTTTGTTCACAAGTAGTGTCAAGATACTCCGCTGCATTAGGATACTTCTTGCAAAAAGCGTCATAAAGGTCCAAGAACTCAGCCTCTGTATAAGCGTGTGCGCACTCCATAAACTTAAATGCACATGTATCTCGGTTGTTACGGACATATCCTTTAACATTCTGAGACAAATGCCATATACAATATCCATGAGCAGCCTGAGGGAACACTTGACGTACTGCCTTGATCAAGCCTTTGTTTCTGTCCGAAAGAAACACCAATCTAGGGACATCAGATATCACTGATTTCAGCTGTTCCATAAACCATAGCCAACTATCATATTTTTCACCATCTGCAACGCCAAACGCAATTGGGTAGTGGTGATGATTGGGATCCTGAGCAGTCGCAATAAATAACACTCCACCATAAACAGTCTTCAGATGTGTTGCATCCACAACGAGGACTTTCCTCATCGCGCGGAATCCTTCTATGCTAGCTCCCAAAGCCCAAAACAGATACTTAAATTTTTTGCCCTCATCCACGACCACACGAGTTATTGTGTCAGGATTCGTCTGCTCCAGCATGTGCATATAACAATATAATAAAGAATAACTCTCTTCAGGAGTTCCGCGCACTTTATTAGCAGCTAGTCTTTTTCCTCTATATGCCGTTGTGTATGATACATCCACAGCAACTCTGTGATGAACCAACTTGATCAGTTCTTTGGGACGTGGTGTGTCAAAACTTCCGGGATAATCTTGGGCCAAAACAGATGCAACGATTTGTGGTGTGCCTCTCCTTCTATTAGGCAGTGTTCTTGTGGTAACAACAGAACATCTATGCTGCTTGATGTAACTTCTAACTGACCAAAGATCTGTATTCGTTAACTTTGCAACACGCACAAACCACTTACAGCCTTCTTTGGATCCTCGGCNGCGACTTCAACTGAGGGTCCTGCTTCTCTTTCGATGACATTCTCATGCATCTCAATGTCTTCGTAATGTGTGAGCTCACCACCAGTACCTTCATTATCAGTTGCATCCTTCTCAGTACCATCTTCATCACCACCTTCTGTCTCAGTAGCCTCTGTATCAATAGCTTCTGTATCAGTAGCCTCTCTATCAGTAACCTCTCTATTAGTAGCTCTTCTTTCAGTAGCCCCTCTTTCAGTAGCCTCTCTATCCGATAGACCACCATAAAAATCAGTGTCATCATCCGTTTTGTAAAACTCCACATGTAGAACACTTCTACAATTCTCTTGATTTACTTGCATTAGATAACCAAAAACGTCTTCATCCTCCCAGATATATGATGGCTTGTTCGAATACATTACCATCGGAAAGTAACTAATCTTCGCTTCCGTCTTATAGTCATCTACCTTTATCTTTTTGCAAATACGCTCAACCAAAACAGAGCGTGTAATCTCCTCCACTGATTTCTTCAACACAATAGTGTGAATTTCATCTTCCCCTTCACCATCTCCCGAAATCCATTTCATTTCAGCCCCATCTTTAATATAATATCCTCCATAATCAAAACAAATGATTGTACAATGCGGATTTTGCATTTTCCTGAAATAAAAATAACGACAATTAGCATTATTTAAAAGTTTAAATTTAATTTCCACGATGTACACTCTTACTAAGACTAAATTTTTCAATACTAAATACACAGTAAAACCAGTAATACTAGTAATACTTGTAGGCATAATAATACCAGTAGTATCAGTAATACTTTTTTTCCTCAGTAAAACTGGGTATCTTAGTAATACCCAGAAATTATCCTTGCACTAATTAATCAACTTTTTAGTCTGTTTTTGTTCGGATTTTTCATTACCTATGGTATATACTTCATATTAATGACATTACACCCAAGAAATCATCAAAACGGGCTCAAAACATACATAAAATATACCCTAAAACCCATAAATAAAGTTTACAAAATCTTTTTAAATCTCTTAAAATTTTCATTCANGAAATTATCCTTGCACTAATTAATCAACTTTTTAGTCTGTTTTTGTTCGGATTTTTCATTACCTATGGTATATACTTCATATTAATGACATTACACCCAAGAAATCATCAAAACGGGCTCAAAACATACATAAAATATACCCTAAAACCCATAAATAAAGTTTACAAAATCTTTTTAAATCTCTTAAAATTTTCATTCAGTCTTTCTTTTGTTACACAAGCCGACATATACACTTATCTTTATAAGTTTTCCAGTAAAAATTTCATCAAAAACGGACATAAATTATACCCGAAATCCATATACACAGTTTTTAAAATCGTTTTCTCTCTCTCAAATTTTCATCAATTCTTATTTTTTTTGGTTACCCATGGTATACATAAACATTTAAAAGACATTTCACACAAAATTTCATGAAAAACGGACAAGATTTACCTGATTTTTAAGCTCCAAAATCGCCAATGGAGGGTGGGGAAGAAGGTCTACGCAGGAGAGAGGGAAGGCTGGAAATTCTATTGGTTAAGGTTGCTTGTGGTCCCCATTTGGTTGTTGTATGTTGGTTGGATAATTTAATTGAAATTTTAAATGAATTAGTGAGGTGGAGAAGAAATATATTAAAAAAAAGAAAGGCTAATATGGGGAATTCAAAGATAAAGGAGTAGTGAGAATAGAGAGGGGATAGGAAGAATGATTTTTTTCACATAAGAGTATCTGGAGTTATTCTCCCTTTTGGTCTGACCGTCCAATAATAATTACACGTGTAGAGTTAAAAGCTGTGTTCATTCTTTTTCGGTTTCTCTTTTATTCATAAACTAATTGTTTTACCCGCAAATACGATTATAAATATTTATTAGTTTATATTTTTTTAATAATTCAAATGTTTTCTGTATGCTATTCTGAAATTTGCCTTTCTCACTTGGATAGCTAGGCATAATAGATTTGATTAACTCTACTTGTTCCTTTTGTCAACAACAGTTGAAACAAGAAACCACTTGTTCTTTGAATGTAATTTCACAGTGAAAGTTTGGGCGAATCTTGCAAGAGGAGTGATCGGTGATGAGTACACCAAATTATAGAGTAAAATAGTGACTTTGATGATTTCAAGAGATCAAGTCTCCACAAAGATATTTACATTGAAGTATGATCTTTAGTCAATTATTAATAGAATATAAATGGAAAGGAATGGAAAAAGTCATTGGAAGAAAGCCTTTAGCCAAAACAGTGATGATCAAAATCTTAGATATAAATGTAAGAAAGAAATTTGCATGAGTACAAAAAACAAGAGATGCACGATTGGGAGATGGTCTTCGGTTCTAGTTCTCAACAAAACCAGACCAAAGACATTAGAGAGTATAGGTTCTAAAGAGTTTACATTAGAGAGATACTTACCAACACCAAGGTGAGTGTTTACGCTAGCATATCGAACTGTTCCCGTAAGGTTCTTGTTTTCTCTGTTAATGAAAACAGTATTGAGCAAACGTAAGACAAAATAAAAGAAGCATAAAGAGCTTCATAAAAATCACATGTAGGGGATGTGTATGTGTTTGGAGATCCCTATATTTCTTTGCAAGGCCAAAATCAATGATATACACCTACATTTATACCAACATTAACCAAGAGAGAGAAATAAGATAGAATCTTAACACATCTTCCTCTATGGGAACCATTAGATTTAACGTGTACCTCGTTTGCTTTGCGACCAAGTCCCATCAAGAAATTGTCTAGTTTGATGTTACGGTGAAGAAACCCCCTTGAATTGATATACTCAACTCTTCTAATCTACTAATAGTGAACAAACATCTTCAGTTGAAATCTCAAAACTTCCAACACTCTACTCCTTCATCCCCTACAAAAGTTAAGGTAAAATACTCACAAGTTGATCTGCAAGCATCAGAGCTAACGTCAAAGTTAGTTTCATGTTACAATAATTGAACAAATCCTCCAAACTCGGCCCAAGCAGATCAATCACCATCGCATTGTAGTCTCCTTGAACCCCAAACCACTTGAGGCTAGGGATCCCAGCTTCAACCACACACAAAAAAAGTAACCCATATGAGATGAGCATGTTTTAAATCAATCATCTAATACTTATAGATGTAAACTTACTTCAACCACCTGAGAATACTGAGAATGTAATGCCCATGGAGGCTTAGCTCGCTTCTTCGACTTCTCACCATCCGTCACCACTTCACCTAAATCCATAAAAAAAACATTAGAAATAATAACTAACCAGAAAAAAATCGTGAGACAAACCACCAAACCTGCTATTGTAGGTGTCGCCACCACATCGGTTTCAGGGTTTGTGTCTGCTTCAAGAGAGATCTCCATCACATACACATCAGTTAAAACAGGCTTCTCCGCATTCATAGCTTACAGATCAGAGGACACAATGCCATATGAGCTACAAAATAGAAAGGCAACCAGGGATGAACTCAACAAAAAAAAACTTGCAGACAACTGACAGAAGGTAATAACCAGACATTGCAACATAAAATTTGAAACTTTGGCATAAAAAAGAGGAACACTACCGTTGCTAACAAAGAGATTATAGCTCAAAACTCACGCAAAGCCAGATTGTTTCAGAGACACAACATACAAAATCTGATGCACCCTAAACAAAAAAATAAACTTTGCTATCTTGCAATGAGTTACAACATCACATGCGTTGGTGTTCAGACACTTTTAGTAACGTTTCATCACACCAAAAAAATATCAAACTCATAAAACAGAGATATCAGAATTGCCCAAAACGAAAACTTTAAAGACACCAAACAAACAAACAAAGATTCATCGAAACAATCACATATCAATTATCTCACCGTATGAAAGAATAAAGAGATGATTTTTACATTGATTAAAGATTAAAAGTCTCCACCTTTTTACGCTGATGATCTGTCTGCATCATTGCTCCTATCAGAGTGTGAGTGTGGAGGTTACCGGTGCGAGATCAAGCAACATGCCGAGGAGGCGAGGGAGAAGGAGGAGTGTTACACGTTTCTCATGGGTTTGAATCAAGAGCTTAGCTTTGTGAGAACTCAGATAATGATCATGGATCCTCCTCCTTCGTTGAACGAAGCCTACGTTTGGTTAACAAAGCGGACTTAATTCTCTATTGCCACACTAACTCTATCGGTTATTCTTATTTGCCCCACCTAATAAATCATTTAATTTTCTTTTAATTACAGAAATGTTTGTAAATACCAAATTATCCTCTATAAATCTATAAAACTACAACTAAACCTAAACTAACCCTCTAACCTAATCAGTGTATTTCCTTCTTTCCTCTTCTCTTTAGAACTCACGACCTTTCTCCCCACTAGCGAATTCCTCCCTTCTCTTTTGACAGAAACCCTAATCAATGAAATCAGCTTTCTTCTTCTCCTTGTTTGAAATCAATCCGACGGAAACCCTAATCAACGAAATTCCTCTCTCTTACAGACGCGTTTGATTCCGTGTGTCTCCTTCAACAGATGTTTTCGGTTTCATCTTCCTCATTCTCAAAAATCTGGGTAAGTTTTTATTTCTTTGGGTTTTATGTTCATTTGTAATGTGGGTTCGAAAATAATGGATAGAAATTTGTGTGTGAATGGTTAAATGATTATTGAAATGAAAAAATAGAAGTGATTTGAATGGGAAGCGATTTGAATCTTTTTAGAAATATGGTTTGAAAAAGAAAGGATTTATCTATGCTAATTGAAAATGATTTGGTTATAGTTTTTATTGTACTAGTGTTTGTGTAATTGTTTCTGTGAAACTTTGTATTTAATGATATAAAATTGAATGTTGGATATGTGAAATGAACATATGTAAGTCTGTTTCAGTTATGATTGAATGTTTTCTGTTACATGATATTCAAAGATCGAGATAATGGTAGTGAGACTGATGAGGAAGACAAAAGTTATGAGGAAGAGAAAGAACCTGAAGTTGAAGCTCAAGTTAAAGAAGAGAAAGAACGAGATGAAAAGAAAGAAAGCAGTGAGACTGATTAGGAAGACAAAGAAAGCAGTGAGATTGATGAAGAAGAGGGTTTCACGTTGAAGAAAGTGATGGAGAAAAGTAGAGTACAAACTGATACACTGTGAAAGAGTATTGAAGAAGACAAAGAACATGAGGAAGAAAAAGAACAAGAAAAGGGTGAAGAAGAGATTCGGGCTGAGGCAGAGCTCACAAAAGAGGGTGAAGAAGAGCTCGCACAAGAGGTTGAAGAAGAGGCAGAGATCAATGAGGCTAGAACCGATGAAACTCCAACACCACCACATGGAAATTAGGCTCGGGTTGAAACAGATAAAACCGATGAAACTTCAACACCACCATGAGAGAATCAGACAGAGGAAACTTCCACACCACCACGTGGTAGGACTAAATCAATGGCTGCAAAGAAACTAGTCACTACATCACCATGTGGTTAGATTAAGGCAATGACAGCGAGAAAGGTTGTGAAAGAAGAACCTAGAAAAGGTAAGCAGACTACTGTGGACACATAGAAAGCTGTCAAAACAGAGGAAAAATTCAGTGAGAAAAAAGAGGATGAAACAGAGGATAAAAAGAGGGTGAAGAAGAACATGGGGAGGACTGATTAAACCGAGGAAACAGCTAAGACTCCTGCTCAAGTTGGGATCAAAAGAAGGAATAAGTGTGTGGCGGTGAGGAAAGATGCAGCTTCGAAGAGGCCTAGAGGTAGACCGAGGAAGCCTGCTAATCCAGAGCAGTTCACACTGCTGCCAGCAAAGAGGCCACGTGTACCATCACAGTGGGTGCAAACTTCTTTCACCGAAGACGAAGAGCCAAAGTCGAAGCGTCAAACAAAGGCTAAAGCTTAAACATGTTTTGGTTAATATATTTGGGATGCTTGTTATGTATGTAGGATGCTATGTAAGACTATTTCTAAGTGTTGAACCTATGTAAGATATCTAAGATTGTTGTTTGTGTTGTTGCATGTTTGGACTAGTAGAATATTGTATATTACTTTGTGTTAAAACCAAAAATTTGAACTACTAGGTTTGATAGGTATTACTAAGAAAAAAAAATATATATATATGTCTTACCACTGGCTTCATTTACACTTGTAAGAAAAATTGAGCCAAAAAAATATGCATAAACATGTATGCATAAACATGTATAAAACGTGTTAAAAAAAGTTTCAACCAGAGAAAAATATGTCTAAAACGTGTTAAAAAAACACGTCTGAATTATTTACACTTAGTAGTACTCAAGCTGTTAGTAATATTCCCTTCTTCATAGTAATATTTTTGTAAATTACAATACTTTTTAGTTATACCACATTAAAACATCAAATTTATTAATAATACCATTGTATTTAGACATTTTTATATTGTTTGTAACACACTGGTAGAAAAACAATTCAGAAAATATGTATTATCTATTTTTCATCTCATTATGGTCTTACCATCAACATGTTAGTATATAAGTATAAGGATATTTTCTATGAAAATGAAAATTTTTCTATCAACTTGAAAAAATAAGAGTATTCAATGTCTATTTTGACTAATAAACACATATATGGATATATAATCGCATAATATATGAGAAATATATTTTAAAAATAATTATTAAGATGAAAATATGGTTCTTAGAAATATGCCTAATACATAGTAGTTCCAAGGTGTTCCAAGGTAGTTCAAGGTAGTTCAAAGTAGTTCCTAGTAGTTCATATTACACATAGTAGTACCAAGTAGTTCCTAGTAGTTCAAATTACATATAGTAGTTTATATTTTTGAAATTAATTGTTGATTTGAATATGAAATATCTTGTTTTAAGTTTCATTGCTTTATATAAAAGAGTTAAAAATTTAGTTAAAGAAAATTAATTTATATAAATATTTTATTACGTTTATTTTGCAAAATTAATTTTTGATTAAAATATTATTTTAATAATTTATTTTGTTATGTTATTGTTTATAAAAATATTATTTTGAAATAAATTTTCATAAATTTTTGGCTTTATTAATCATTTAACAATTTGAAAAAAAAAATCTAAAAAATTATTTGGTAAATATAATTTGGGATCCACCCAAAAAAATTTAAAAAAAATCTAAAAAAAATCTACACAAAAAAATCTAAAATGATGGGTCCCATTATATTTGAAAAGAAAAGAAAAATTAATAAAAAAGAAAGGGTAAGAAGGTAAAAAGAGAAAGAGTAGAGAAAGGTGGGGTAGTTAGAAAATGAGTGGGATAGTGAGAATATAAATTTTCTAAGTGTGGCAATAGAGAATACTTTCCTAACAAAGCAGATTCGAGAAGAAGCTGAAGAATGTGATCCATTGAACAATCGATTGTGTTAGACAATTCTGTGAAAAAAGAGATATAAAGAGAATCAGAGAATGAAAGCGAAAGAAAGCCATAAATGGTGGATCCTGTTTGATCTGGAACCAATTTGTAAAAAGAGGAGGTAAAGAGATGGGAAGAAGATGAATCGTGAGAGCATGAGAGAAGAGCAAAGGCGGCTAACAAATTTTTATTTTCGTTTGTGGGCCTGGTAATTAATATCGTTTGAAACCCAAAGGAAATGAGCCCAACCGTAAGCGACCGATTTGATCTTCCCTATTGGCTGATTATATATGTCGACGTGGACACCGTAAAAACCCATTATATTTGGCTTTTATTTATAGTAGACTAGGGACACCGTAAAAACCCAGCTGACGTAGCAGTCTGGGAAACCCGTTATGTTATCCACTCCTGAAGTGGATAAGATTTACGAGGAGGTAAATAATTTATTTTTTTATTAATTTTATTATTTATTTAACTTAACTTTTTAACGTTATTAATCTTTTTATTTAAAAGTCGCCCCTAGGAAAAAGGGACGTATCGTCGGGATTGGTTCCGTTAACGATGTCCCCACAGCGACATCGTCTTATGCTCAGGAACAACACAATGTCACTGCTCAGCTGCGCTCGGAATTGCAGGCGACGCAATCTCATGTGAGTTCTCTCGCTGATATCTTAAACGTATTGGCGGTTGGAAATCCGCAATTGGCGGAGATGTTGCGTGTCAGACGTAAAACGGAGGGCTTCCAACCCAACATCCACCAACACAGTCACAACCGAAGACCAACATGGACGAGGAGGAGTTGGCGACCCGGGATGACGACTTCGTTCGTCAATTTAACGAGCAGCATCTGTAGTTTAGTTTTTTTTCTCTTTTTAATTGTATTATGAATTTAAAACTTAAATATTTAGTTATTTATAAAAAATTTTGTTATTTCATTTTTTATTTATAATTTGGATTCTTTATTTTTTAAAAAATATATTGTCTATATTTATTTTAATTATTATTTTTTAATAGGGAAAAAACAATTCGAAGTAATTTTCTCGTAAAGCATTACGACGCGCTTACGAGGAAAAGGGTTACTACGACTTTACGAGGATAAGGTTTCGAGGCTTTTACGAGGAAAGTTGTACGAGGCCTTCACGACGAAATCTGTCTCCACGCGTTTACGAGGAAATTTTTTCTCGTAAATTTACTAGGAAAATACGAGAAAAATGCTTTACGATGAACATGTTACTACAAAACACATTTCCTCGTAATTTCCTAATAAAGAGGCCTTTACTAGGAAATTACGAGGAAAGACCGTCCTAGTAAAACGTGTGCTTTCTTGTAGTGATCAGTATTATATACAAAATGGCATAATAAATAATGTATTTTAAATTTTCATGTATATATTCATATTCGATCGTTAAATAATATTATGCACGTAAATGATATTCAAATTAAATGAAGGGTATAATTTGTATAGAAGTTAGAATTAAATTATTTACAAAATATGGATAGCATTAATTACCATAAATATAGATAATATTTTGTTGTTTAATTTAAGTAAATAATATGTATATTAAAATTAGATGTCAATGGCATGACATTGTAAATAACTCCAAAATTTAATGGTAAAATCCTAGTAGGTATTTTGCTTTAATAGTATAAACTAGAATTTGATCCGCGCTTTTAAAATCACATGTATTTTTTATCATTTTAATAAAATATGATTGAATTTATAATTTTTATTAATAAAAAAAAATTAAAAGTTGTTCTATTAGTATTTCAAAAAAATGTTTATTATAATATTTGATTTTTAATCGATGTTTGTATATCCGATCTATTCTTGTGGTTGAACCACTAGATCCGAGTACCCGTATATAATCATGTTCGGATTTAATAAAAGTTTGTTAATTAAAAATCGGATGATCCTCTAAAAACCCAATAATTCTGATAATATTTATTAATTTTGATTAAATAACTCATACTTTTTAATATTAAATAAATTGAAAACAATTAAAATTCCTTAAACTTTGATTAAATTTTTATTATGTCATCTGAAGAAAATGATATAATGAATAGAAAGAGCAAAATTTATTGATATGACAATATTAGTTTTCTTTTATTAAGAACCTATGATAAATTTGTATTTTTATTTATTTTAGATCTAAAAATTTTATGATATTTTTCAAATACTTTTGAACACTCGAGATTAGCATATCAATATTATATACAAAATGACATGGTAATTATTTTAAAAATTTAATGTATATATTCATATTCGATCGTAAAATAGGACTATGCACTAAAAAGTGATATTCAAATTATTTGAAAAATATAATTTGCATAAAACTTAGAATTATTATCATTTAAAAAACATGGAATGTGTTTATTACCATAAATATAGGAAATATTTTTTTTTGTTTAGTTTAATAATTAATATTTATATTTAAATTAATTGTTTGTGGCATGACATTGTAATTATCTAAAAAAACAAAGGCAAAATTATATGAAGGATTATGTTTCAATAGTATAGACTTTGAAACAAAGTAATTAGTAGTTAATATGATGAAATTTACTCGAAAAACAAAAAGAAAGATTAATGATTTATTGTAAATTTATTATTCCTTATATTTTTTCTAACATAAAAATATGAATAGTTATTATATTAATTGAAATTTTGTTTGTCTTAAAATGATACAACTATTTGTATTATGATTCCGGTTTATATTTAATGTTTATGTTTTTATTGAAACATATTAAATAAAAATTGGCAATTTGTGTTATTATCAAGAGATTATCTGTGAAATAGTCAAGAAAAAAATAGAAATTGGTTTTGTAGAGAGAAGATAGAGAGAGAAAGGAAGAAAACTGAGGTAGAGAGTATTACTTTGGTAAGTGAGTGAATTTATACTTTTGTGAATTTATTTGAGAAATTCTTAGGTTCACCAACCGATAGGATTTATTTATTTTAGGATTAGGGAAATAAAATGTTAAGTGGAGTAAGATGGTTTAGATTAGTTTATAAGAATCCATTTCCTCACTTTGTTTCAGGATCTGTTCTGTTGATCTTGAACTTTCTTCTCCCTTTGTTAGTGTTAAGATTAAAGTATAATCATGAATCTAATCCCATATATTAGCATATGATATCAAAGATCAGTTCTCTTCGGGCGTCTGTGTGACAATGTTCAAATTTTCTCAGCGGATATGAAATCGATATTCATTAGTTAAATATAAAAATTCAGTAGTATAATGTTTTTAAAAAAATATGTAAATGTGAAATAAGTAATGAATGACACAATATTAGCACTAACATAACACAATGATCTGCAGTCATATTCACATGCCAACACACAACCCAAAAGACGCAAACTTCTTCTTACTCTAAAGAATTCACCATACCGATGAGAGGCGGATTGTTAAGTTAAGAGCTTTGTGTTTTTCACACTGAAGACTCATCCTTATCAGAAACTACAGTTGGTCTTGACACTCCATCAACCATTGTTGCACCCAAGAGAATTTGAGTTTCAAAGATCTTGATGAGACTTA